ATCTACACCTCAAAATGTTTCTACATTGTTGGGGGAAAAAATCCATTCAGTTATCTGGGTGCAGTCGTGCATTCTTATAATCCCAGCCACTCAAGAAGGTTGAGACAGAAGGATCAAAAGCACAAGGCCAACTGGCAACTTAGGAAAACCCATCTCCAAATCAAAAATAAAAGGCTAGGGGTACAGCTCAGTGGTAAAGCACCCCAGGGTTTAATCCCCATCACCACCAAAAAAGGAAAGATCATTCATTTAAATACCTGAAATAAGTATTTCCTTAGTATTAAGTATTTAGAAAGTCAAATATCAGTCACAAATGAATGTTATCTATACCCCACAGTAAAAAAAGCTGAAAGGGCTCCTAGGACAGAAGTGAGTGGAACCAGGAAGTCACATGGCATGGTGTGTCTGTCCACCAGAATCCTTCATTGGGAATAAAACACTTCAGAAATACTGGACTTCCCCCATTCAAATCAACTCCTTTGGAAAGGAGTAAAGTATCCTTAGACCCATCCTACCGACAACCCTACCTCCTCATGAAGTTTTACCAGCTTCTGAACATCTTTCAAAAAGAATGATGCTGAATCTAGGAAGTTTTCATCCTTTCCAACTTTATGTAAAAGTTTTTTGAGTTTTTTTGGTGGTACTAGGTATTGTACCCCATGATGCTAGGTAGCACTCTATATCCCCAGACCTTTTTATTTTGTTTACAGAGTCTCATTAAATTGTCCAGGTTGCCCTCAAACTTGCAATCCTTCTGCTTCAGCATACTGAGAAGCTGGGATTACCAGTGTGCCACCAAGACTAGCTAAGTAAACATTTTTAAAATGTTTACTTAGTAGTCCCCTGACAGAAAGGGGACTACAGATAACAGAATGCAATACTATTTTCATAAAGGAAAATTCCAAAATATAATTTTGCTTAAAAGAAGACAGGGAACTTTGTATAACAAGCAAATAAACTTTTACAAAGACTTTATTGTGGCAGACGAGAACTTAGCCAGATATACTCATTTATTTCCAGTAACTGAGACTGGGTGCTTTACTGAACTAACTGATCAATTAAAAGTTAACACAGATATTACACATGAATTACCAATTTTCAAATAAAATATATTCTAAATCTATAACCCAATATGGTAGCCACCAACTAACTATTAAGCACTTAAGATGTGCCAGTCTGAATGGAAATAAGATGTAAATATAAAATTTCACTGGAGTTCGCACAAGCTTTCAAAGACTTAGTTAAAAAAAAAGTGAAATAGCACATTAGTGATTTTTTCATATCAGTTACATGTTAAAATAATAAGTTTGGATATACTGAGTTAATAAAGACACAAAGATTCATATCTTAATCTTTTACTTTAATGTAATTACTAAAAATTTTAATTGAATTGTTAGCTTGCATTACATTTCTATCAAACAGAGCTGCTTTATACAAACCACAAAATATGACCCAATTTTCCTTTTATGATTCATCATAATGATGAATACCAAATATATAATAAAGCAAGAAAAATCTTATTTACATTTTGGATACATTCTTTAAGATATTCTCAAGTAAGAATGGCATGTTCTTGAAACTTCTATTAAATTTACAACCATCTCTACCTATGTTAATAAAGGAAAGATTCAATCCTACAAGTAGTATTTTTAGGGATCAAGAAGGAAATACAAAAGTAAAAGGCCTCAAAGCAGGATTAAGAGAAATACCATCTGTTTTGAAAAGGCATTTTAAAACAAAAGCAGTGCTTTTAATAGCTGATAATAGACATTTAAAAAAATACTATTTGATTATTTTGAATAGTGGGATGAAATTTTCCAACTGCCAGCTAAACAAACTTGTTAAAAAGGAAACCTGTTAAAGTAGACTGGAAACTGATCACGTTGAAGAGAGGGATAACGCCTGAATGTACCATATGGAAAATACAAGTCAAGCTTCTTGTCAGGGCATTACTAAGTAAACACTACACTACGATGAAACCAGCCAAACTTTTGATATCCTTCAATATTACTATAGCAGTGCATCAATCAACTATTATAGGATCTAACTAAAACTGCTTTTCAAAATTCCAAAACACCACAATGTTTTTTCAAAATCTAGCCAGCAAGAATTACAGAGAGCATAGTTTCCAAATGCCTGGTCTCTAGAGGTTGAAATTAGAAATTGAAAATTTAAAGCCATATTTGCATGCCATTCTGCTTTACAAACACTTTTGGACACATCAACCTATCTGATCCTTAAGCTAGCCCTTACATATTGGTGTGCTTTTATTTCTACTTTAGAGGTAATCCCAAGTTCAGAGACTTTGACTTATTCAAGGTCACACAGCTAAAAAGTAGCAGAACCAGCATTTGACCCCAGATCTTCTGATGCTAGTTGATTCCCGTTCTAAAACAATCATTCATTTAAAACCATGTTTTGAATCCCAACAAGCTTAATGCCAAAGAAGGATCAAAGGAGGATGGACTAGGTCAAATCTTAAGACTTTGAAAAACACCAGGCATTTTAATCAATTCAAAAAAGGGAAAAGAAATTACCAAGAGTCAGGCAATGACTTGAAAGATCCGGTGGGAAAATATACAATCTAAATGTCCTTGGGTGCAGACCAATAGTATTCTAGTAGAAAATGTACCTTCCCCTGAAATGTGATTTTTCAATGTAATAGCTGTAGATTTTTTTAAAAAAAAATTGTATTGTCACTTTATATTGTTTGAGAATTTTACTTAATTTACTGGGTACAACCGGTCCCATAATTTTTCATAAGTCATGATGCTTACTTAACAAAAAGCAAATTGTAAAAATGAGAATTCAGTGACCACTACTATTTAGATCGCAGGTAAAGGAAAAGGCTGGGTAGGAGGATGGCAACTCCAAAGGCCAGCATCTTTCTCGCCGAAGGCATCCCAGAGAGCTGGACAAAGGCGCTAGCAGCACCAAGGACCCTGCTCAACCTTCAGGACACAGGGACAGCACACCAGTTTGAGCACAACGTGCCCATGGGGAAGACCGGGGAAAGGGGACTCCTAAGATGGCTCTCCGATTCCGTGCACTAAGCGCATTCCTCATTACAACCGAATTCCAAAATCCGGAAGGGGAAATGTAGATTCCGAGCGCCGAGCAGCACCCGGGGTACCCACGCTGGGATGCCCACGCTGCCGGGTCCGGGCGCCCCGAGGAAATCGAGGTCGGGGTCGCAGATACTCCGCGAGACCCACACCTGGTCTGACCGCTCGCCAGGACACATTGGACCCCGCGCTACCTCCCATTTGGTCTCCGCGGCCCCGGCGACCAGCCTCGAGCCCCCGGCCGCCGACCCCCGGGACCCCGGCCCCCGCCCGGCCCGCTGACAGCCCGGCGCCGCCCCCACCTGCCCGCCCTGGGGCCGTGAGGCCGGGCGCGCCAGCCAGGCCACTTCCTTCCCGGCTCGGCCCGCCTGGCGCGGGCCCGCGGGGGCGGGGAGCCGCGGGGGAAGGAGGCGCGGCCGTGGAGGAAGCGCCGTCGCCGCCCGCACCCACCGGCATCATCGCGGCGCGGTCCGCGGCGCCCTCCGCCGCCTGACAGGACGCTGGCGCCGCGCCGCGCCCGCCGCTCTAGCCGCCCTCACAGGCCGCGCGCCCGCCGCGACGTCCTCCAACTGGGCMGCGGCGAGGCGGCGGCTGCGGCGGGCTGCGGAGCCCTTGCCCGCACTGTCGCGCCGCTCGCGTGCTGCGCAGCCGTCCCGGACCGGCTGCCGCCGCCGCCGCCGCCGCCTCCGCCGAAGCCGGCCGCCTCCCGCCGCCCGCCGGGCTCGCCCAGCAGGCCGCGCAGGCCCCGCCCCGAGCGTCGCCCCCGCGGACCTACGCCGATCTTGATTGGCCGTGCCTCCACGGGGGCGGGGAGGGGAGGGGCTTCCCCGGCGGCGGCCAGGTGCGAGCGCGCCCGTGCGCGTCCGCGCTCCCGCGGCGGGGGAGGGGCGCGCTGCGGCTGCCGAGCTCCCGCCCCTCCTGCGTGGGGGCGGGTGACAGAGGGGCAGTGCTAGGGCTCTGTGCCCGGCTCCGKGAGACCTCGGGCATCCTGGACCAAGGGAATATGGGCAGGAAAGGGAAGGCCAGCCCTAGTCCCGCAGCGAGCCCCAGCAGGCGGGGACTCGAACCGCAGGCCCCCGGGCCGGCGGGTGGGCGGGGCGCATCCCTGCTCTGACCGCAGCCTGACCCCCGGGTGCTAGCGCCCCGCAGGTCTGCAGACTCCAGCCTGGGGGATGGATGCGGAGTGCCCCCGACGGTCCGCGTGACCGGCTTCGCATTGCTCAGGACGAACTCGGGATCCCTCCTGGCGCAGTCGGGCCCAAGACACCTGATCCCGCCGCGCGACTCACGAGGGCCACGTTGGCCTTGCTGGACTCTTGTCGACTCTCAGCGTAGGCCAGCGAACCCCCGCCTAAAATGCCTGTGCCCACCTGTACCAGCATCCTTCGAGGTCCGCCTTCAAAGTCCCAGGGAAAGGTCCAGTCCCCATTTCCAGTGTCCAGGTCTCTCTTTACAGTCCTGCCTCCTGTGTCACCTCGCCGTCTGGCCTCGGAGCCTGATTGACACAGGTCAGAACAGGACCCAGAGCATACCCTCAGTAAAGGCTGCCGAACTGGCAGGCACCCTTTCTGTACGTTCCACATTGTGCTATAACCCTGAACCTTCACAGACGAGGAAGCCAAGTGGCTAATGGACTTCACTCTGCAGCACTTAAACTTCCATGAGCACCCAGAACACGGAGGCCTACGGATAGCCGCAAACACAGAAGCTGGAAACCACCTTGGGAAGCGCCCAGCTTCCCGTAGAGAGCGGCTTGTGTTGACCAGGGGCGGTCTGTAGCTTGTCTGGTCCTCTGAGAGGCCGCTGCCAAGTTAGGGGCAGAGAGGGAGGAGGCCAGGGAGTTACCACCAGCCCCCTTGGTGAGGAGCCAGGCCTGTGCTTGGGAGGCCACGGGGGTTAGTGGTTGAGAGCGTGGACTTTCCAGTTGGACAGATTTAGTTCAGCACCACCTCTGCCACGCCCTTGCTGTGTGATCTTAGGCAAGTCGCATCTTTCTGCATCTCAGGTGACTCTGCAATAGGAGATTGTAGGGATAATCCTGCTCAGATATGATGCTTGAAAAGCACCTACCACAATCTGCCACACAGGGTAGCTACCCTCTAAATTGAATTCCTATAGTTATGTTTATCATTAGCAAGCCAGGCTTAGAGTACAGATGTTGCTGGGATTTTTAAACTTACTCCGGGACATAAATGGCTAGTGACACAACTTTTCTGGGAGCAGTGTTTGGAGATAAGAGGAAGCTCTGGGCAATGAGTGATCCTCGGTTGGATGGCAGAGGCCAAAGCTCCAATTCCAGCTCTGCTTCTGACTCCCTGTGGAGCGCCTCAATCTACCCATCTGTAACAGGAAAAGGGTGCCTTTTCTTTGAGTGCCTTCCAACTCAGACATACTAATGTCCAWGAGTTGTGAATGGATTGGTGCTGGCCCACTAAGCCAAACAAAGCCAGGCTCTGCTAGGGCATTGCAGAGAGGTGCCACCTGAAGTAAGGTGATCCAAATGAGCCCATTCTCTTAAGATGGAGACCCTTGACCACAAGGGTCCTACTCTTGACTGCAGGACCCCAGAGCACAGATGGTGGCAGCTGCCTGGCCCTCAAACCAAGGTTGGATGGCAGAGGCCAAAGCTCCAATTCCAGCTTCCAGGATAGCCTACAGGCAGGTGTCCATTCAAGGCAGGCATCCAATGGCTCCTCTTCAGCTAGTCCTCCTCCTGTCCATCCTGCCAGACACAGCAGGCATCAGGCCCCATCAGCTTGAACTCATCTCTCCCTGCTATAAACTCCTCCAGCCCCAGCCACCTCCCACATACTCCTGCACTCAACCTTCCTGGAGCACAGACAGAATTTGTGCACGCGCACGCACACACACACACACCATAAAACCCTAGGTGTCTCCCTGGCCCAGGCCAAAGTTCACAAGAGGCCTGTCAGGAAGCACCTGTAATGGTACAATGCAGGTATTAGGGTTACATAAAATTTCCATATTGTTCAGAGATGCATCTTAGTATATGTGAAAGGTCTGGAATTTGTTTAAAAACAGCTCAGCAGAGGGAAAGACAGCAAGACAGTCAGGAATAGCTGAGGCCTAAGTGGCAAATTCTCCATAATTGTTGAACCTGGGCAACAGTTCTATGGGGTGCGTTGCACCTTTCTCTCTACTTTGCATGTTTGAAGTATATTAAAAATGACTAAGTATTCTTCAAAACAAAGAAAAAGGACCTTTGGAGAGAAAATCAGTATATATTCATATTTGCCTAATGAAATTCTGAAAGGATCCACAGAACACTGATAAAGTAATGATTTTAGGTGAAAGTGGGAACTGTGTAGATAAGGAACAGAAATGAGAGTGAGGCTTTTCAGTATTACTTTTTTAAAAAAATGAACTTCATTTTAAAAATGGCTTTAGATTTATAGAATAATGCAAAGATAACAGAGAATTACCATATGCAGATCACCTTGACTTATGATGGGGTTTTTCCCAATAAACCCATCATAGATGAAAATACCCTAAGTGGAAGATGCAGTTAACGCCCTAACCTACCCAAAGCCCTACCTTGGCAGCACAGCACATTGCAGAATACCCCTGGTGGTCTCCCCTGGTGAGGGCCTGGCTGCCTGGAAGCTCTGGCTCACTGCCACTGCCCAGCATCACAACAGAGTGTCAGGCTGAATGGAGCTAGCCTGGGAAAAGATCAGAACTCAATATCTGAGAAAGTTTTCTGCTAAATGTGTATCACTTTCACACCATTGTAAAGTAAAAAAATCTGAAGTAGAGACATCATAAGTTGGGGACCTTCTGTATAGCTTTCCCTATTAACATCTTATATAAGTATGGCACATCAGCTACAATTAATGAACCAATATCAAAACACTGCTATTAACTAAAGCCCATACTTCTTTCAGATTTCTAGTTTTTACCCAATGACCTTTGTTTCAGGACCCCACCTCATATTTGGTCGGCAGGTTTCCTTAGACTCCTCTTAGCTGTGACAGTTTATCAGACTTTGCTTGTTATTTATAACTTTGGCAGTTTTGAGGAGTGCTGGTCGGGTATTTTGTAGAATATCCCTCAACTGAGATTTATGTCTGTGGTACTCATGACTGCACTGAGGTTAGAGGGTTCTGGGAAGAATATTACAGAGGTGAAGGCCATTCTTATCACATCATGTCAAGGGCATGTGCTATCAATGCGAATCTCACTGTTAAAGCCAACTTTTATCCTATCACTATTGCATTTTATGCTTGGCATTTTAATCAGGTGAATATTACCACTGTATTAAAATGTAAAAAGCTTAAGACCTATGTTAGTTTACCAGGCCTATGATAGCAACATGTGGCAAACCGAGGGGCTCAGATAACCAAAATGTGTTTTTTCACAGTTCTGGAGGCTGGAGGTCCCTGGTCGAGGGGCTGGCAGGGGGTCTTCTGCAGCCCCTCTCCTCAGCTTGAAGGTGGCTGCCTGACTCTCCACATAGTTTTCTTCCAGCGGGCGCACATCCTGGTGTCTCACTTTTCATAGGGCCCCAGTCATGTTGGGTTAGGACCCAGCCACAGGACCTCCTTGGGCCTTCATTTCCTCTCAAAAGGCCCTGTCTGCAAGTGTAGTCACTCTCTGAGGTGTACAGAGGTTAGATTCCAACATATAAATTTTGGTGGACACAATACAGTCCATAACAGGACCTTTCACAGTATGACTCTTCCCTCCCTTTTCAAGTTCATCTCCCATTCCCCAGCAGCCCACACCTCATCCTTGCCCTAGCCACAGAGAACCCCACCACTCTCTCCTTAAAGTCTTTGCTTATCCACCTCCTGTGTGTGAGAAAGCGTTCGCCCATGTCCCTGTTGTGATCACAATTCAAATCCTCCTTCTGCAACATTTCCCCTGACCCCTCAGGAGAACCTTCCCCCCACCTTCTCCTGGTCTGTTCAGTCCTGGGGCCCCTGTCACGACATGCAGCTTTAGAGCTGTCAGTGTTTGTGTCTCCCCAAGGGCCAGTGAGCCCTCAGTTAACAAGTGTCCACTGGGTTTCCCCTATGTGCTAGGCCCTAGTGACACAATCTCAAGCAACACAGAAGAGCTGCCTGTCCTCATGGGGTTTGTATTCTGGTCAAGGGAGAAGATGAGAAATAAGAACATAATGCTGACATTAAAAATGATATTGTGGTGCACGCCTGTAATCCCAGCAGCTCTGCAGGCGGAGGCAGGAGGATTGTGAGTTTGAGACCAGCTTTAGCAACTTAGTGGCTCAGTAGTAAAGCGCCTCTGGGTTCTATCCCCAGTACAAAAAAAGAAGAAGAAAAAGAAAGAAATGGACAGATAATGTGACAGAGATAGAAGCTGTTACCAGTAGAAGGTGGCATTTGAGTTGGGACCTGAATTCTGAGGAGGCAGTCTGTGGGGGCTACGGAGGAGGGGGAAGGGCAGGTGAGAGAGATGCATTGTCGGGGTCTGTCCTGTGTTAGAGGCTTGATGGGGTGGGGTGGGGGTGGGGAAATGAGGTTAAGTTCAGCTTATATACTATGGCCAGTCTACATTTTGACCTGGAGGGCTTCCAAAGGATTAAAGAGGTCTCACTGATGTTTTTCAGTGGCCAGTGTGGGAAGGCTGGCTGGCCTGCAGAGAGTGGAGAAGGGAGGCCCT